AGAGAGAGAGAGAGAGAGAGAGAGAGAGAGAGAACGTCGAACGTTGGACATTTCACTTCCTCTGTTCCTACAAGGTAATGGTCAGAGAATAAAACAGGTTAACCTGCTACATTCTGCTTTTGTGGGAAGCACTTGCTTGTTTGGACGTCTGAAGCATCTGCAGGATGACTGTTACAAGATAAAGCATTGTTCACACCCAGACAGGAATATGGTTATTTGGCTCCCCAAATTAAAACTTTGAACGCTTTTTTCCTTTATACTCCACTGACTAACAATAGCCAGGGCATTACCTAGAGAACATCGGGTTTGTTCCTGGCTGGTGTCTTTAATTAAAAGTCTCCAATTCATTAAAACCTAGACTGAAGTCAGGCTCATAAATTTCTAACGAACCTGGAACCCACAGTAGAAGGGTAGCTTGCCCAGGGCTAGGTGCCCACACCTGAGTTAGCAGTCTCCAGTGGGGAATCCAGAGGGTCAGACCAAGATTCTCTACCATGAACTCTGCTCTCATGGGCATGCCACAGACTTAGTAAGACAACCTCAAACAGCTTGACCCATCTGAGACCTCCTCTAAAGGACCTCCCAAGTGTTTCGTGCAAACCAGCCATTTCTAGGAATAAAAACTGAAACCAACTCTGAGTGCAGCCCCTTTCCTGGAGGTGGTTTGTTTGACTAGAGCTCTTATCCAGTCTGGAAACTGTACACAGCAATGGTGGGTGGAGACCAGGAATGATGAAGTAACTTTAAGAAGACCCGGCTGCCATCCCAAGTGCTCCACCTTTCTCTTTGCAGTTCTCCCTAGGACTCAGAACTCCAGCACTCACTGCTTTTCTTCCTGAACATCCTGAGTCTGAATTCCAGTTCTAGAGCATTCCAAGACAACTGCCCCTGCTGCAGTGCACAGACCTCTCCTAAGAGGAGAACTTTCCCAGAGGTGCCACTGCCCTCAGATCAAGGCCACCACTGCTGAGGTGAGTGAAGGGTTCTAAGTTCAGCTTGGCCAATAGCCCTATGTGTGTAATAGCGTGAGGAGGGGAGCCCTGACTCCGGGGTAGGAGGGCGTGGGGATTTCAGTCAGGGAGCACTCACAGCAGCATCCTTCTGTGCCATCTTCTGTGCCACA